GCTCAACTTGACATCATTTGTGTCAAAAGACCATTGAACTCTGTGCGGGGGAAGTTGCCCCTATACACTCGCTATCTGCTCGCAATTCCTTTCTCCCCCCTCTTGCGGTTCGCTCTCTCTCTCTCTCTTCCTCTCTCGCTATCTCTGTAGTGCAGTAAGCAGCAAGTGTTCACATAAAAATACACACACACACCAAATATGTGAATGTGCATGTATATGTGCACATTTCCAGTCTAAGCTCTGCTAAAGTAAACACAGTTATGCCACCCGCCAAACTGTGCACACAACAATAAAAAGTAATTTGCAGTCCAGTATTCCTATAACTGTCGATCATTGGACGATTGCTATTTTAATCTCGACATTTTATCTATGAATGAAATTATTCATTTATTACCTTATACTAATATATATAAGAGATATATTATTTGTGTCTGACTTTTATTTATATTGTGTTTATCTCCTTCCCGAATATTTAAAGCTACAAAAACTGAATAATGTTTGAGAGCCACAGGATGTTGCTCTACTTTCAATGCTACTTAAACGATGCTTTTGTGTCTCTTAGGCTGCTCATAAAGTTCTAACGAGCTGTTAAGAGAGCAGTCGAATCTAAACACTAAGAGACTCACCTTACGCTGATATTTGATAATCCGTGGCTGAAATCTGCACCAATTTGATTCTCTTAAATGCCTGGGCTTCATAACTGCGTAAGTCATAAATTTGTTGCTGTTCTTGTTGTTGTTGTTGCATCCCCTGCAGGTGTTTTGTCATTCCCATATAATAGGCAGTCTCTTGATAGTGCAGATCACTGAGCCACTGACTGGCGCTGAGTGCACACATCCTTGCACCCAGCTGACATTGTGTGTTCATTGAGTGCGCCAAATTCTTCATTTGAACGCTGTCATCCGTTAACGTCGCAGTTTCCGTCATTGCTTCGGCGCAGCGCTTTTGACCGCGAAGTTCTTTGCCAGATCTGCTTTTCTTTGCTGCGTTCTTCGTCGCCTCGTCACTCTTCGGTTCCATGCTAAAATTATCTTCACCAATATCACAATTCAGTTGCCTGGTAAGACGCCGATTCTGCCGCTGGCGCCGGCGTCGCTGTGTTTTAGTGCACCGTTTGTTGTTCATTTCATTTAAACGCACATAAGTAAAACACTCCAAATACGGGCACACTTAACAACATTAAAGGCAACAAAAAGCACGCCTACTTTTATATGTAATGTGGTAGTTTTGATTGATTGATTGATTGATTGATTGATTGATAAGCATAACACTTTCCAGTTTAACAATATTAAACAAATGTGTAATTTATTTATTTCAACACATGCAAAACTTAAGCAAAAAGAATCTCTCATCACGAAGAACATAAAAACCGAAAAAAAACAGTGTTGCAAAATGTTAAACTTAGCGGACAACGCTTTTCACAGCACAGAAAACGATTATTCGACTGAAATGAGAATCAATTCCAATTTACCTTCTGTTAAGCCACGGATTGCAGTAGACTAGAGCACTAAACATAGAATAAAGCAATTAGTTCGGCGCTCCAATTGCAATTGTTTTTTGTACAGTTAAGCTTAAAGCGACTGTTAACAAGTTAACAGCAGCACGTTTTTTACGCCTGAAGTTAATAGAGGCGCATAACATCAAAATGTTAAGTGCAAATAACACGCTGTTCTCGTTCGTTAATTCTAGTCAAGCTGTTAAAGCCAAGTTTCGCACCACGTGGCGAATTGATCTCAAGATTTTTGAGTGCTTTAATTTAAATAAATGCCAACAATTTGTTTTAAATGTTACAATTTTGTTTTTATTTTGATTTATCAACTACTGTTACGGTAATTGCATATTAAATTGTTTTTTTGTTTTGTTGCTTAAACTTTAATAAGTGTACTTGGTTTTTGCTTCTTCTTATTCTTCTTGTTTTTCTCGTTTTCATTCGTTTTGTCATTAATTATATTTGTACAAAATATATATGCGTATATATATATTATTATTTTTATTTTTTTTAATATTAATATATGTATGTGTTTCTTGTAACCTTTACTATGTTAATGAACAATTCTTGATTTTAATGTTGTTTTTGCTTCTCCTTTTTTGTTTTTTGTTTTTTTTTTTTTTGGTGTTTGTTGTTCTTAATTCTGTTCTTCGTCTAAATTTCCGGCTTAAAACTTAATTCTGTTCGTTTTTGCTTATATTTTGCACTACAATAACGCTTAACAAAATATACATAATTATTAACTATGCTTCTCGCTTCTTAGATCAACTAGGCTTCCTCATCTTCTTCTTCTTCTTCCGCTTCCTCATTCTCTTCTTGACTTCTTTTCGATTCTTCTGCTTCTGCTGCTTTCTTCTGTTATTATTTGTAATATTTATTGCAAGATTGCTGCTTATTTATTTTGTTGTTTTGTCGTTTTTGAAAAAATTTAACTATAATTTAAGGATTTCTCCATTTCTCATTTCTTTCTTTTTCTTTAGTTGTATATATATAAAAATATATATATTTATTATATAAATATGTATATACATACATATGTGTGTGTTTGTGTTTTTGTGTCATTTCTTTATGTGTAAAGTTGCGTTCAATTTATTTACAGCGTTTTTCGAAAATTTAACAGTATAATTCATAATAGATTATTACAATTAATTCTCATATTGCACAATAAAATTGCGCTTAATGAAATTTTGTGTTTGTTTCTTATTTTTCTTGTTAATGGTTTTGATTTGTGTTTTCATTTGAATACCCTTACAGGGGGTTGTCTATATGAAATTGTGGAGTACTTACTAATTACTATTTATAAATCTTTTGAATCTCTCAATAATGGGAATGATGCTTGGGAAAGTTGCTTGAATTGCTTGGAATGACACATCAGCTGTGTTCATTAAATGAACAAATTTTAATGCCCCGATCGGACTGTTTTATATATCAATATATTTCTTATTGATTTAGCTGCCATAGGAGCTAATTGTAAAAGTTTTGTCAACCTGCCTGCAAGGGTATTTCAAGGGCGGCTTGCCGCACACAGTGTTGCTTTGCTGCCAGTGTTGTTAAGTGGTAACTTAAAATTTGACTACCATTAAAAAACGTTATGTTTGTCGTTTGTTTTGTTTTGTTTTGAAAGTTAATGCTTTGTTTCCCCAGAACCACATATTGTTGCAAGTACATAATATACTCGTACTTATCTATATATTTTATTTTACTTTCTTGTTTCTCTTTCTCTCTGTCTCTGTCTCCTGCTTACCATTTTTCGCAACGGTTTTTGCTTTGATTTTCGAGTTTTTTCCTTTTTCTTTTTGCTGATTTGTTCGTGCTGCCAACTGGTCAGACAGATCAGGTCTGTCCACCTGCTCGGTCCAATCAACAACTTACAATTAGTTTATTGCATTTGTTTTTTGTCTTGTTTTCTTTTGCTGTTTTCAATATGGCTTATGGACTATAACTTGATTTTGTCGCTTTGCTTTTTAGCGTATTAAAAATATATATTTATATATATATATATATATATATGTGTGTGTGTGTGTATATATATTGTATACCTCGGCTATATGTACACAGTGTATATATTTTGTTGACTTCGCTTGTTTGGGGTTTGGGTGGGGTGGGAGGGGAGGGGAGAGGATGGTTAGTGGATCAAGTCTATTTTCATTGATTAATTTGCTGCATACGATTACGATTTTTGTTTATCATTTGAACTTTTTTTTAGAACTACTAATGCACTATTACTTGTTGTTTGTTATTTGTTGTTTGTTGCGTCTGTTTCGTGTGTCTTGAGGCACAGCAAAAATATAAATGAAATGAGAACAAAGGAAAGAAATAAAACAATATGTAAAAACTTGGCATATGTATGCGGTATATTTGTAATATATATTTATATATGTGCATATATAAATATACACATCAATTGTATATATTTATATGCTTCATGCATGAATTTTTGTTCTAAAAACGCGTTTGCTTTCATTTACTTTTAAAATCAATAATATATTATAAACATAATTAATAATGTATTAATATAACTATATTAAATAGTGTGTTTTTTGTTTTTGTTTTGTTTTGTTTTGTTTTGTTAACTCAATTTTAAAACTTACGAAACAGTAAAAATTTGCATTTAAATTAAATGTAATAAAAACCATGCTTATATCGAGTTTTTCATTTGAATTTGTAGTTTTCTTTTTCATTTTTTTCCCTTTTTCTTTTTTTTTTTTTTTGTTGCTTATTTGTTGCTCCTGCTTATATACAATATATTTAAAAATGTATGAGTTTTGTTGTTGTTATTGTTGTTTTTGTTATTCTTGCTGTTGGTGTTTTAAGGCGCATTCACAATTTTGGCCAGCGAGAATATATATATATATACATATATATTTATATATATATGTATATATGTGCAAACGACAAAGGGAAATTAACTAACTTAAATATTAAGAACCCATTATTAAAAAAACAAAATTCAACTAAAGTTTAAATGGGCGCCAGTTTCACTTTGCTTACAATCTAGAAAACATATATATTTATATAGATAGAATAACTTGATTTTTGCAATATGTGTGTGTTTGTGTGTAGCAATATCGTATTAACTAAAACTAGGCATAAATATAAAGCTTAAAATGCCTAAAAAAGCAACCAATTCAAAAATTGAGCATAAGGAAATAAGTAAATGGTGTGCATAATGCTTATAATGTATAAAAAAAGGATTTTAACTACAAATTAATAACAAAAAACAATTGGCTGCTGATGCGTTGTTGTTGTTGGTGTTTGTTGGTGTTGGTGTTTGTTGTTGGTGTTGGTGTTGCAAGGTTGGAAGGTTTTTCTAAACTAAACGTCTAAATTTGTAGCTGTTCTGCTGCTGATTGTATACAATATAATATTTATAATTATAATAATAATAATAATAGTTGCTAATTTGGCCTGACTTTCATTTAGACACGTTTGGTGGTGGTGTTGGTGATGATGTTGCTGTTGCTGTTGCTCTTGTTGCTCTTGTTGTTGTTGTTTTTGCGGTTGCTGCTGCTGCTGCTGCTGCTGCTGCTGCTGCTGCTGTTGTTGTTGTTGTTGTGGTTGGAATCGATGTTGGGGCGAAAGTTATCGCTACTGTGACTGGGGATACGAGACTGAATCGCGTAGCGTTTTGAGACCAGCCTGAACATAGCGAAACACCTCATGCATGGTGCTATGCAGCGTCATCGGTCCATTCTCGTGATCCAGCTTGCGAATGAAGTCTGCAATGAATGAAACACAATTGAATAAAACAATCCACCAGCTGTGATTTGTATACCCTACCTATATGATTGCCGGTGCGCACCAAACGATCGGCCTGATCCCACAGATCGTGAGCGCTGTTCACATAGGTGAGATACTCGTTCTGCCTGCACAGCTGATTGTGTATGTCTTGAGGCACTATTCTGCCAGGCGGCGTATTCGAACCGGAGCCCTAAATTATCAGAATACAATTTCAAAATCATTTAGTATGCAATTAATGCAATTATGTTTGTATGTATTTGTGTGCATACCTGCGAGCCCACCGAGTTCGATGGTGATATGGAGGACAATGTGTTGCCATTCAAAATATCGCCACGGCCACCGGTGCGAAAGAATTCGGAGCAGCTGGCTATTATCGCACGACAATTGGCACGTCGCAACTTGTAAAGCTTTAAGGATATCAGTGATTGGCAGCGCAAACTGTGAATGGAAAATGACAACTTGCTGTACTTAGTATTTAGATAATACAAACATCGTGGCAAATATCGTACCTGAGTATGGCCACTATATTGTGCGATTCGTGCTTTCCATTCGTTGACTGCTGATACGGTCGATTCTTCGAGGAAATGAATCTGCAAAAGAATTTATATATTATTTATTGATGCCAACCACAAACTTTAAAATGTTCAGATTTACACAATTAATTATTAAATTGCAAACATTTAATTTAAAATTGAGTTAAAGTTAAGCCAGCTAATAAATAAAACTTATTTGAATTTCCCGAATTTACATGAATAATTTAATTTTTAACTATATTCATGATCAAACACAATTATTATATAGCTTGGTAAATAATAATAATTTAGTATTTTGGGGGTGGAGGGGAATTGCACCGCGACCTACTCGATCTATTGTGCCCCCTTCTGAGCTTATAGCGCTGCCATCAGCCCCATCTGCCGCACGAATGTGGGAATCTCCGTTGGGTTGAGGTCTTCTATGTCCTAGGATGCTGCATCTTCTTCTAGTTAAGGCGACACATTCTGCTAGGATGTGCATCGAGGATTCCTCTTCTCTTTCACACAACCTGCACAGATAGCTACTAGTTGAGTTAGGTGACTTCTTAGTCTACAGTGTCGAGTGTCAATAGACCGGTAAGTATTCTAAGGCTGTTCTTTCCCATGGTTACAACATGCTTAATTCGTCTAAGATTATAACCACCCAGGAGACATCTGGCTTGTCGGAGTCCTAAGCTCTGGAGACCAGCTCTGTTGTCGCCTCTGTCTCTGCTCATATCTAAGTTTCAGTCGTATATAGCAAGTGCTAGGGGTCTCGCTGCCCCCATTCTTGCTTGCTCGTAGGGTAAGCCTTTTGTGAGTCCCGAGTAGGTCTAGCTTGGAACGAACCTCATAGACTACTTTCTTTCGATGTTATCTTAGTCCCCATTATAGCGTTTAATGATGCTTGACTATCCGACAGGTTGGATATGTCCGTATTCCGATAGTTATGTTAATAATAATTTAATTGTAGTTAGGAGTGTGGCACACTTTACTCACTTAATTAGCGTTAGGGTGTCCTTGTACATGGTCCACGTGGCCTCCATGTTGCTCCGTTCCATGGCATCGGCGGTTAGCAGGAAGTAGACAATCGCCTCCAAATAGAGCGTCATCTGTTTGAAGGAGTCGCGCTCCGAGTCAGCGGCACGCTTTCGCCTGATTGCCTCCTGCAGCAGTATCTCGTTTTTCCTAATACAAAATTCATTGGATGCTTTATCAATATGTGAACCAAGTTCGAAACGACAAACAGAACTGAGAATTCAATGGAAAAAGACTAAAGAATTTCTCTGCGAACATATCTGAATCTGAGAATTGTTACATCTTTTTTATTGACGCTACTCACTGTTATTCTATAAGATTATATAAAACTGTTTTTGTTTTTAATATATATATTCTTAAGATTCATGAAAATTAGCTTCAATGATTCGAATTTAAAGAGTATCTTGAGTTGGTTATAATCATTAAAATCCATATTAAATTTGGTGAAAATTACTTTAATTATGTAGTCGATGCAACAAGATACTGAATAAATTTAGGTGACTGAAATTTAAAATGAAATTGAATTTAATCGTATTGCAGTTATCGATTTGATCGATTTCCCAGCCCCTAGTGGACGTTTTTAAACACTTTTTTTGACTTTGCTGTTCCAAGTTTCAAGGGACTCAAAAGGAGTTGCATTCAGAAGGACGGATACTGCCCCAAACCAATATGCTCTGATACCTTAGATATCTTGGCATGGTTAAAAAAGGTTACACCATATTGAAAACCATGTTGCATGACTAAAGACCTGCAGCATTTTGTTGCATTCTTCATTATTTGATCATATCGAAGGTCATTCTGAATGACAGCAATGGATATGTTGCTGATGGCAGCTGATGCTGTTGGTGCTGCTCACCTGAGGTCATCGCTGGGAGGCTCCTCCTCATTATCGAAGTGGGAGCGATAGATGAGACGCGGCGGAGGCGGTGGCGCCACTGGTGGCGGTGTCGTTTGTACCGCTTCGCTGCAGGTTGTTGGCTGTTGTGTTGCCGTCGTTGACGTTTGCACCGCAGCAACTGTTGCCGTTGTTGATGTTGTTGTTGTGGCCTTTAACTGTTGCTGATGTTGAGGCTGGTGTTGCTGCTGTTGCTGCTGTTGCTGGTGTTGCTGCTGCTGTGCATGGGCCAATGGAAATGATCGTTTCGTTGGACTGCCATTGGCCGAGCTAATCTCCTGCTGGAGCAGCTCCAACTTGTCGCGAGATAATCGCTCGTGATTGTTGGCGGGCAGCAGCACCGGCACCGGCAGCAGCTCCTTGCTAACCTGGTCGGCCTTCTCCTTTTTTCGCTTCTTCTCCTTGTACGGACTCGAACTGGAGCTGCGTTTGCGTCGACGCGTTGGCATCTCCTGTTTGGGCATGAACTCCTGCTTAACGCTATTTGGTTTATACTTTGCCTCATAGCCGGCATCCAGCTCCGGCTCGGGCTTAACGCCATGCTCGTGCTTGACGCCACCCAATAGCTTACTGGCAGCACCAGCTGCACCAGCTGCACCACCACTTGTCACATAACCATTGGGCATGCCATACGCCTGCTGCAGTTCTTTGGGTGTGCGAGCACCTTCCGCTGACCGACTGCTGAGGTGGCCATTCTGTTGTGCCTTCTGCTGGTGCGGCTGGTGCTGCTGCTGGTAGTGCTGGTGCTGGTGGTGTGGCGGGTGGTGCAACTGCTGCGTATGAAGGTGCTGCTGCTGCTGCTGTTGCTGCTCAGCTGCATATTGTCGATAGCTCTTCTGATACCATTCGGGCGGCACTCGCGCCAACTTGCTCAAATCAATTTTGCACATCAGCGACGTCAAATGTGGTGTGGTGGTGCGTGCCGGTGACGCCAGCGTGGCACCCAATAGTTGTGTGGGCGTTGCACGCGGCTTCCACTCTTTGGATTGTTGCTGCTCCTGTTGTTGCTGCTGCTGCTGCTGCTGCTGATGTTGCTGCTGTTGCTGCTGCTGTTGTTGCAGCTGCTGTTGCTGCTGCTGCAATTGCTCCTCGGACTGATCGATGATGACAACCTGACCCTGTTTCTTGGCGCCGCCCTCTTTGGGATTGAAGATGCGTGTTAGCGTGCAGATCTTCTTCTTATCACTCTTGCGCTTGCCACCGCCATGATGCACATCGACCTCGTCGCTGCTGCTGCTGCTGTTCGTGCTGCTGCTGTCGGTGCTGGAGCTGCTGCTGCCATCGGAGCTGCTCGAACGTTGTCTCGCCTGCTTCGCATCGGGTGTAAAATGCGATTGCTGCTGCTGTTGTTGCTGCGGCTGCAACGGCTGCTGCTGTTGATGCTGCTGCAATTGTTGCTTTTGTTGCTGCTGCTGCTGCTGCTGTTGCTGCTGCTGCATGAGCAACAGTTGCTGCTGCTGTTTGTGCTGCTGCTGTTGCTGCTGTTGCTCTTCGGTTTCGCTGCTGCTGCTGTTGCTGCTGCTGCCGGCGCCGTAGAGACGATTGTTTTTGCTGCTGCTGACAACGCCCAATTTGTTAATTTTTACAATACGCTTTTTGGCGGGATTTTGTGTTGTTGTTGTTGTTGCTGCTGCTGCTGCTGCTGCTGTTGTTGCTGCAGCTGCAGTTGTTGCTGTTGCTTCGCTGTCGCTGCCGCTGCTGCTGCTGTTGCTGGACTTGGTGCTGCTGCAGCTGCTGCTGGTGCTATCCTCATCACTGCTGCTGCCCGCGGCAGCAGTTGGCGGCAGCAATGTTGTTGCTGCTGCTGCTGCTGCCGCAGCTGCTGCTACTGTTGCTGGTGCAGCATGCAACTTTTTGGTGGGCGTGTTGCCATTGGAGCTGCTGTTGCTGCTGTGCTCCCGCTTGCGACTGCCAGCAACTGTTAATGCTGTTGCAGCCAATGCTGCCGCTGCTGCTGCTGCTGCTGTTGATTTCGCCAGCGGTTTCTTGGCCGCCGTCAGCGTTGGTCCCTTCGCCAGTGAGCCTGCCGAGGCGCTGCTCAAATTGCCGCTTTGTGTCTGTTGCAACTGTTGCTGCTGCTTGCGTGGCCTGCCGCGCCCCTTTTTAACAGCGGGCAGTGCTGCCGCTGTGGCAGCAGGTGCTGCAGCAATTGCAGCCGCTGCTGCTGCTGTCGTTGCGGCCAACTCAAGGGCATGCTTCTTGTTGCTGCTTGCTGGCTCGTCCTCATCGCTGGAGTCCAGCGGCGGCGCTGTTGCCGCCGACATCTTCTTCTTGCGCGGCTTCTTTTGGCGTGGCTTCGGCGACGCCGGCAGCGGACCAATTGGCGTCAATGTGACACTATTTGGCGGCACCTTCTGCTGCATGGCTGGCGGCACACGTAACACTGTTGTGATTGCTGCCGGCACTCCGGGTATTTGAAGCGTTTCACCGGGTCCCGGCAGCGGCACAACTTCACCAGCGGCACTGTCTGAGCTGCTGCTGCCGCTGGCACTGCCGCTGCTAATGCTTGCCGAGTCGGACAGACGCACTTCGCGTTTGATTTGGTTATTGGGCAAGGCGCCCGCCAACGCCAGCTGCTCGGCACTGAGCTGCTGCTGCTGCTGCTGCTGTTGTTGCTGCTGCTGCTGCTGCTGTTGTTGCTGCTGCTGTTGCTGTTGTTGTTCCTGTTGTTCCTTCTTAACCGTTACACTCAGTCCAGCGGCATATCGCTGCTGCTGCTGCTGTTGCTGCTGCTGCTGCTGTTGATGCTGTTGGTGCTGGTGTTGTTCGTCTGCCTCATCCTCGTCCTCGTCATCCGTAATGCGTCGCGTGTCGTCGTGCAGCTTCTCGTTTTTAACAATTGCCGTCGTGACATCGATGGATTCGGGTATGATTTGTGCACCGCCTGGCAGAATGCCTGGCACCTTCATGCTGACATTGCCACATGCCACGTTGCCCGGCGATACGCTCTCGGCGGTGGCCTGATTCGTTGGCTTCGGAAAGAAACGACTCAGATGCCAGCGATTGCTGTCCGTCGGCGATGGCGTCTTGTTCGATGAGCTCGAGCTGCTCATGTTGCCCATGCCACTGCTACTCGAACCGCCGCCGCCACCCGTGCTGCCACTGCCGCCACCGCCGCCCAATAGCCCCGAGTTCGTGTTGCTCGTCGCGTTGACGGCACCACCTGAGCCACCCAAACCACTCGAGGTGAGTAGACCGCTGATTGTATTCGCACCGCTGGCAATAATTGTTTGGCATTTCTTCTTGTTGCCGCCATTGGCTGTTGTTGCTGTCGCTCGCTGTTGTTGTTGTTGCTGCTGCTGCTGCTGCAGTAGCAACTGCTGCTGATGCTGATGATGCAGCAACTGTTGCTGCTGCTGCTGTTGCTGCTGTGCTTCGCCTTTGCTGCTCGCCTCGCTGCCCGATTCGCTGGAATCCGTCTCAGAACTGTTGCTGCTATTGCCAGCAGAACAACTACAAAGTGCGACAGAGAAAGAGGGAGAAAGAGAGAGAGAGAGTGAGTCCTGAATTACTGGCAATGCGTGTCAAACTGTAACTTACATATCCCTCTTGCGATCATCATCGGATTCAGATAGTTCCAGATCGTTCTCAAGGCTGCAGGCAACAAAAAAAAAACAAATGTGTCAATTTAACGAATTATCCAGTTATAAATGCTATATTGGAATACACTTATCTACTTTAGCTATTAATAAATATATATGTAACACTGCACATCGATATTTATCGATATCAATAATCATTCATTTCACTTTGTCTGCCACTACAAAAATACATCTTTTTCCCCATATATAATTTTAAAAATGTATTCTATAAATCTCCACTACAAAATTTTATATATTATATTTAAAATGTATTCTATAAGTTGACAAGTTATCGTCTTCACATCTATTTAACTGTCTCTGAGTGTAAATGCATTTGAAACTCTGCAAAGATGTTTTAACTGATTATGAACAGTGAAATGTTAATTTGGAGCCCTGCGTGGCTTATAATAAATAGCTTATTTATGTTAATTGTTATTAGATATCAATCATATCAGTTTGAGCTGCAGCAGCCAGCTTTAGCTATTCAGTCGAATCGCTTAGCTCTCGCTTATCGATTTCATTCGATTCATTTCGCCTATCGATTGTTTTAGTTACTCTTGTTGTGCGAAGGTTTAGCAGTTGGCTCAATAAATTAATTACAAATAAAATTAATAACGTTGCGGAAATAACTTTGTGTTACTAATTGGAAAATAAAGCTATCAAAAAGCTGACAAACACTTTGTTAAATATTCTTAACTGATTGTTAAATATTCCTTGGTTCCTTAAGAAACATGTTGTTTAGCATCGACTGCATTTCAATAAATTTTTTTTTTAAGTTTTGTACAAAAATTGAACTAAAAATCGAGTCACTCGTAAAAAGTATTCATCGATATATATCGATATATATATATATATATATATCGATAAAGGCATTGTCTTATCTAAGAAAAGAGATTTTGTAGAGCCTGCCAAATCATTGTTTTTATTTTAAGCTCTTCTTTAGAAGGTTTAGTGTAATGTTTGAGATTCCTGGAGACTGATCTATACTTGATCCTAACTAACAACTACAAATGACTCTAAATTTATTTATAAGCCAATATTCCAATTTACATCCACATATATCCTGCTACTCACCACGAGTCCTGTTTCTCCAGCGAGTGATTTTTCTCCGATTTGAGGGGCCTTATCGCTGTTGGAGGCGTGGGCGATGCCTTTGGGGGCGTTGGCATCAGCTGCTGGATGGGCGCAACGGCCGCCATGCCCAATGCGGGTGGCAGCACTGTTGTGGCACCCGCCAGCGGTGGCAGCAGTGGCAGTGGCAACGGCAGCTGACTGGCCTGCGGCGGTGTCGTCAACAGCGGGGCAATCGGTGATGTGATGGGCGCTATGGGCGCCAACAGGGGCGTCATTAGCAGCGAGGAGGAGGAGTTGGTGGTGCAGGAGAGGGAGGAGGAGGAGGCGCCGCTTGCCGCCGGCGGTGAGTTGAGGGGACCGATGGGTTCCACGTCGTCAAATGCATACTTATTCTTATTGGGCCCATTCAGGTTGTAGTTCTCGCGCGTCGGCGCGTGCGGCGTCGCCGCTATCGAGGTCAGCGGGGTCACGCGATAGCTGTTGGTCATTTCGTTGATTATTTTGCTAATATCCTTCTGTAAGTGCAGATAGAAGAAAACACATTTCAATTAACTGTGCCAGGAGGCAACAAGGACAAGTACCCAATACGAGCTTCGACACGACATATCAAAAGTACTTTCAAAACAATTAAACAATTATGGAATATATCGTCGATAAATACATATTTCAATTATATATTTTTTCCTTTTCATTCTTTAGCTATTTATAAAATCTAAAAAATAGCTAGAAGCATTTTATTTTATTAAAAAAAAAAGAAGTAAATTTATTGTTGTTTTGTTTTTGTAAATTTACTTCGCGCAATTTTTATTTTTAATTTTGACGCTGATTGCGTTAAGAATGGGAAAATTATTTTATAATTTTAATTTAAAAAAAAACTTATGATTAATGGCAGAGATATTTGAATGCCTTTCTAGGCTAATCCCTGGCTAAGATTTAATTTAGTGAATCCTAAGTCTTGAATTCAATTTCTGCTAATATATGTGTATATCTCTGGCTGTATATTTTAATATAGAACTTGCCACATTCAGCGATGGCTTTCGAAGAATTACACGAAAAAAATTTAAATTCCAATTCTGTTGTGTGAAGTAGAAAGGTATAAAAACAGCGTTAAAGATTTTGGTCTTTTTCTATCTAATTATAATATATAAAATTTGCTTTTAAACAAGTGGGAATTAAATTGTTAACATGAGACAAATACATTAAATAGCTCGATCGTTTTTCAAATTTATAATGAGAGGTCTGCAATGATCTGTTTGAATAAAGTTCAGCAAAATTATCCTAAACTTGTGGAAGACATGTGCAGCATGTCCGACACCATAAATGAAATATACTCTTGATGAGGATCAATAGCCGAGTCGATCTAGCCAAGTTCATCTCAGAGATCTCAGAGATTATAAGAGCCGAGACGCTTCAAAGTGGAAGCATTAGTTCTTGTAAACTAGACAAAGCTGCATACAACTAAGTATCAGCAATGACTATAGTAAATATATATCTATATATATATCATACATATATATAATAACTATATATATATAGTAAATAATAGCAGTTATGTTGGATTTTAACTCTTAATTGCACTCAGACATTTAACTGATTGAGCTGGATGAGTGCTTACCTCTGGTGGCGGTGGCTGCAGTCCGGCGGTGTTGCTGGTGCGTTTACCGCTCGCCGCTGGCGGGACAAAGCGACCGCCGTTGGACAACGCTGGCGCCGGTGGCCCCAGATATGATTTCTCGCGGCCATTCGGCATTTGCGTGGACATTGGCGGGCCGAGGAGGGGCGCTGTTGACGCTGACGTCGCTGCTGCCGCTGTGGCATTGTTTGTGGCGCTGGACGAGTTGTTGTTGGAGGCGGACGAAGATGAGGATGCGGATCTGGGTGGGCCACGAGGCGGCGCCATGCCGCTACTCGAGGGTATATCGTTCTTCATCGGCTGCCCCGGATAGCCGCCACGGCCATTGTAGGGCGGCTTATTATCCGCCTGCTTCAGGTAGGTGGGCGCCCTCTGCTGCTGTTGATAGTGTTGCTGCTGTTGCTGTTGCTGCTGTTGTTGCTGTTGTGATGTGGGCAGCTGTCCAGGCAGCAGCGAGGCGGATGAGGAAGTCGTTGTGGTGGAGTTGATGGAGGACAAGGAGTTGATGATCGGCGTCGTTGCCTGCCCCTGCAGTCGCGCATTGGAACCCCCGCCCGGCGCCTGCCTATGAATGCCGACCATGTTCATGCACATGTGCTCCTTGGCATCGACGAATTCGCCGAGGGCTGCGGTTATCATGTTATCGCCCTCGCTGGGATTCAGGCGACGCGGCGCCTCAAAAAGACTAGTTTCCCGATCGTCGCTCTGTATGCCCTGCTGCCGTTCATATTTTTCGCGTTCGCGTCTCTTGCGCCGCTCGGGATCCTCCATGCTGCAAGTTGAAAAATCAAAAAAGAAAAGGAACCAAAACAATGGCACACAATATAATAAAAAGGGTTGCTCAACATGGTTGTTCAAAGACTCCTTCATCATCTTTGCAAAGTGGTAACAATCAACAATCAACAGTCAACAGTCAACAAGAACAATGTTTATACAATTAGTAATAACATACAAACATGACATTCAACAACAACATGAACAACAACATCCAACAACTATAACATCATCGTCAGGAACAAATATGGCGTGTTTTTTTTTCTTCAAATATTATACAACAGTTGACGGCAGTTTGACATGCGCTGCGCTGCCCTGTGGGTGTGCGTGCTTTGTAAACAGTTTGACATGCACAGTGCTTGCGGCACAATTTGTTAGTTTTTGGTTTGTTGACTTTCTGTTTCCTTAACAAGCAATATACATATGTACATTAGTTTAAGTGGACATTTGGATAGGGGATTTTATGAATTAGATCGCAAATGAATTTTTACATGTTTGTCCGAACAGCTGATCAGCTTTAAGCTCCTTTTTATGTAAAAGCTCGTTGAGAACTGGCTTCAATTTTAAATATATATATCTTTTTTTTATTTATAGATAGATTTCTATATATATGTACATATATTAAAAAAAAAACACACGTCAAATGAATAAACCAAAAATATATATATATTGTAGTTCTTTGTGTAACTTTAATTTAAAGAAAAATAACTTTATTAGTTTTCATTATGTTTCAGTTTCCTTAATCATTTTCTGTGTGTCAATTTATTTTCCATAATTTTAATGCTTTTATTTATTTTTATTTTGTTATATTATATTATATTATATTATTGTTAACAACTCAATTTAGTTATAATTTATTTATTTTTATATTCGGTTTAATGCGCAAGTGATTGAAAAATATGTGGAACATGATGCTAGAGAGATGGACAGGGGTGTGATTATCATTTTTAAGACTTGCTTTATTTTGTGATATTAATTAGGAAACAATCTCAAAGAGATTACAAATATGAATTTTCTCTGCAAGGGTCTGGTCAAAAGCTTTCCTGCCCTATTAACGGCACATTACAAAGTAGGGGGAAGGAGCTGAGAAGCTTTTACGTCCGTTAGACATCAACAGTTTGACAGGAATGCAAGCACAGTTTGATGTGCCATGTAAACAAAATGTCTGATTGATGATCAGATGGGAAGAGTGAGTAATGTGTGGAGAGAGAGAGAGGGAGTGATTGTGGGTTCGTGTGTTAATGTTTTGTTTGTGTGTAGTGTAAACGCGACAGATGTTTAACATAAATATTTGCATGAGCATTTGGAGCTTTTTGCATGTGCCTTTGTTATTGGTAAAAAAAAAACAACAAAAAAACAATACATTTTGGACACATGCTAAGAGACAGAAAGACAAACAAACAAACACAGAGGGGTGGGGACTGGAGCGGGGGCGGTGCTGGTGTTGGGGGTTTGCAAGCACACAACGCAACGCAACACAATGCAACGCAACGCAATGTGACTCTAAAACTTACTTATAGTTCAGATTGTACAAATTGTTATTGTACTGCGGCAATTGTTGTTGCTGTTGCAACTGCTGCAGCTGCTGTTGCTGATGATGCTGCTGCTGCTGCTGCTGCAGGTGTTGTTGTTGTTGCTGTTGTGCCATAACGCGCGCTTAATACAAATATTATTTTAATTATGTTCGCCGGCAACACGCACAACGCACACACGCACACACACACACTCACACGCACACAAGGGGCGAGAGCAAAAGCAAAAAAAAACTTTTTATTTTGTTTTGTGTGTGCGTGTGGAGGGGGATGGGGCGTCAAACCAAAAGTGCTTGTAAAGGTTTTCCGCTCTCTTTCTCTGTCGTTCTCGCTCTCGCTCTCTCTCGCTTGAGCTTTTGGTGGATTATGTTATCGTTGTGATTTTGCTTCTGTGATAGCAGCAGAGGCGTCGCGTCGCCTTTTTGTATTGGTTCTTGTTGTTGTTGATGCTTTCTTGCGCTGTATTTGCTTCTCTTCTTGTTGTTGCTGCCCTCGTTGGTGGCCGCAACATTTTCGCTGTCATTTGCTGCGTCGGCGGCGGCTTCTGCTGCTGTTGTGTGTGTGTCTCCCACTCTTTCGCTTTTCTCTTGTTTAGACTCTGTTTAGGCCATTCTAAACAGTTTTGGAAGCACTAAGCGCGTCTTTTTCAGCTTAGTTCGTTGTTGATTTTGTTGACGTTACAAAAATTGAATATTATGCGATTTGCTGTATTTTTTTTATATTTGTTTGTTTGTTTCTTGTAAACAGCCTTATATAGTTTAAATGCTTTCATTTGTTGTTGTTGTTGTTGCTGTTGTTGTTGTTGTTGTTACTTTTTTGATTAATTGTGAGTCTTTTTATTGCTTTGTGTGTGTTTTGTTCTTGTGTATAATTTGTGTTGTTGTTGTTGTGTATTGGTTGTGTATTGGTTGTGTATTGGTTGTGTATTGGTTGTGTATATATTGTGTGTAAATTATATTACAAATTTAAAGTTGTAGTACCTGTAAAAAAAAGCAGAGAAAATAGTTTTAATTAAATTGTTAAATTATTTCATCACTTTATTTATATACTAAAAGCTAAAATTTATTTGTTGTTTATGATGTTTCGAATTGATTAAATTTAATATCATTATTTCATTGCTAAAAATAATTACGAAATTCCGATTAATTATAAGTAAGACAGAGAAATGAATAAACAACTATTTGCCTCAGCATTTCATTACATTCAACAAATCTAATTAATATCAACTGGCTTGCAAGATGTCATTATGCAAATTTATTGATGGCTAATAAATAATGCAGTCAAATTTTGTTTTTCCTATTATTTGTGCATTAATTTGACTTTACCTAGATTGCCTTAAATGTAGACTGTTTAATGTAAGCATATATAAATATGTACATAGGTGTTTAAGAGAATATCACCTACGCTCACAGGCACTAGCAACTGATGTGCGTAGAAAAGAGACAAGAAAATTCAAGCAAACAACACGAGCACCGTTATTTCTCATTATACCAGCGGAGACTCACACACGCACATAAAGACACACACACATACATACTACACATGCACACATGGAGGGATTATTAGCTTTGCTTAGTCGCCGTCGTGACGCTGCCCACGTAGCGCTTAGTTGAGCCGCAATCCACAAGAACAACGACAAAAATAGGAATAACAACAACAACAACAACGTGTAAAAAGCACTAATTCAGTAGCCTAGCAAGAAAATGGCGTCATGGTTGACTCTTGAAGTGCAATGCTTAGCTGCACTTAACTCAATCGAAAGAGAAGCAGAGAAGAGAAACAAGACAAGCTTTGTTGCTCTTAGCAAAAGCTTCGTCAATCTCCGCTTTGATTCATTAATTGTGATTGGATTGTTTTAAACTAAATGGAGTTTACTTAACTTATTCACACTCTTAAAAGTTCCAACTTACAGTAGAAAAAAATATATATACTTTAAATAAATACTCGTTAAATATTGCCTCAACTTTAAAGGGAAAAATATACAACGATATGCTGATAATTAGTGAATTCAATCGATTTACATTTCACAATCAACAAAACACAACAAATACAAAAACGACGTTTAAATAATTGGAATTGTTGAGTATCATAAAACAAGCAAGCTGTAAAATAAAATCAGCAGTTAAAAGTCCCCAAAATATAACTAGCACAAAGCTGACAGACCAAATACAAATTATTCTAGCTTTAGATTAAATGGCCGCACATTAAAGCTTTGCACAGCCCAAGAGGCGAGGGGGAGAAGGGGGCAGCAACAATATATAAATAAGGTAATAGAGAAAAACAAGGGTACACACAACACCAACACAACAAATACTTTGTTAAGCTTTCTGCTCGCCTCTGCGTCTGCTGCTGTTGCTGCTGCTGCTGCTGCTGTTGCTGCTGCTGCTGCTGACTTGTCTTCATTCATTGTGCTGCTTGTGTGCATAAACTATTTGTAAGCACTGTGTGAGTGTCTGTCCAACAGTTGGAAACGTGCAGAGAAATAAAATAATTAAATGTTCGCTCGAGCTTGACTCTGACTCTAACTCTGACTCTGACTCTGTTTTTTGGTCTTCTTCAGTTGAGATGCTAGCAAAATTTATAAGACAAATAAATTTTAACAGCAGCAGCAGCACCAGATTTGTGGCTGTATCACTCGCTCTCTTTCACTCACACTTCCCCCCTCTCTCTCTCTCTCTCTCTCTCTCTATCGCTCTCTCTTTCTCTCTGCTTTATTTAACAATAAAAGGGTCAACAGGGTGAGTCTGATGTCGTTTTTTTTTTTGGGTAGGGTGTCGGTTCTCTGACCAGCAAATTAATTTAACTGACACGTTTTTCATTCCAAAAATAAAAATTGCTTTTTTCTCATAAATAAAATTGTGTTGCATTGGCCAAAACATAAATAACTATATATATATATATATATATAGAGAGAGAGAGAGAGAAAAGTAGGAGAAATGGAAATATTATGCTTGACAAGTGAATATAAACTGCTGGTTTTAAATGGGCTAAATCGGAATTAATGTTCTTAATTAATGTACTTATTTTATGGTTATTAAAAGAAAAAAAAAAAATTGAAATGTTGAATTACAAATAGAAAAAAATAAATAAAATTAATTCAATCGGGTGCAAAGCACAAATGCATAAATCACTCGACTACAGCATTCCAACTTGATTAAGTTTTTTATATTATTTGCAATTAAGAAATGAAGGCAAATCAGCGATGACAACGAAATACAGTTCAGTTTATAGTCGGGCATAATAAATAAATAAATAAGTATAGCAAATAAATAGGGAAGTAAGCAACAAAGTTCTCGATTATTAATAATTATTGGCTTGATTTCAACCGAGTTTCTCTAAAGCTCTGCTAACTCACTGATAGCTAACTGATAGCTCTGTCTATAAATTTAATCATATTCGTTATTGATCACAAAAGTTTGTTGATATTGCAGCACATACGGTAAGTTATTATTTGTATGGAAAACCATATTGGAAAAGCCTTGGCAAAGACTGCTGTTTGGCCTTAAGCATTTTCAATTTTTTGTGAGTTTCCCTCCCAAACTCCCCTTCAGCACGCCTCTGCCATCGTTTGGCTCACACGTTTCTATTTATTTACTTTGGTGTTTTCTTATTTTTTTTCTTTTTGCAAAGATAGAGAGAGCGAGAAAGATAGAGAGAGAGAGAGAGATAGAGAGAGATAGAGGGAGAGGCAGCTGCACAGCAAATATGATGACGACGAGGAGCGCTGCTGTTTACCGTTCGTTCGTTGGTTCGTCGTTGCCTACTTACGGGAACTTTCCCTGCAACCACTTCCCTTCCCCTACCCAAACACCCAACCTGATATCGGAGGCAAACCACAGAGGCACCGGCTCCGGCTCCGGCTCCTCTTCGAGGAGTCCCGACTGGGGCATATGTTATGAATTTTATGCAAATATGTTGTGGCTGAAACGCCTCTCGTTACCAATACTGTTGCTCCTGTCTACTTCCCCCCTCCCCCTCCCCCCATCACCATTCGCACACTTTACCACACTCTCGACACAGACACATATGGAAAATGTTGAAGAAAATTCGCAGTGTTGTGCAATTTTGTTTCTTTTCGCCGTGTTTGCCATTCTATTAACATTTTAATCTTTCAGTTGGGGCCTTCAGCAAAAAGTGTCGCTTCCCTTGTGTGTCACGCAAGTCTCCCATCAAAATGCAATTTATCGAATTGAAAAAATGTATTAGCGAAAATATTAAATCAAAGTCAGGTTAATTTATATTATCTTTTTACACCTTGTACCTAAAGTATGCAACAGTTCGAAGAAAGCAATTCGAATCCATAAAATCAAGGCAACAGCTATCAAATGAGCAGCATTGGAATTGGCAATAAATATAATGCTAACAGAAAGAAATTTTTGAAATCCCGTTTTCGAAAAATGTATAATCCCTATTTAAACTAAGCTCTTTCCATACTGAACAAGAATAAGATTATCGCTGAAGTAAAATTTCGAATATAATTTCAAATTTAAAGAAAAAAATGACTTTTAAATAAATAAACTGAATTTTCATCATTGCACTTAAGACTTTTAAAATGTTTTATTATTCAAAATTAATTTTATTTATTTTCATGTTTAATTTCAGAATTAATTCAGAATTTAGAATTAGATTTGAATTTTTACTTTTATAAAAAAAAAACGCCTAAAAAATGATTTTCTCAAAATGATAAAAATAATATATTTTCATGTTTTAAAAATCATTAAAAGAGCTGCATAAAATGATTATGAATTGAAGATCGAATATATTTTCGGTGAAGATATGGGAGAATATAGCAGCTATATCAGTATTATTTCACAATAATTGTACCTGAATCTTTAAATAAATAGTTTATTTCATATTGATAATATGTTTTTAAGATTTAAGTACTTTAAAAGAAAAGACTTTTGATTTTATAATAATATAATATAATAATATAATAATAATATATATCACTATTTGATAACAAAGATGATTTTAAATTGTATTATAAATATTCATAGTCACATTCTGCACATTCTTTCTCGTAGGTTGAGAATCTTATTCAAATTGCGCTGAATGGCGATTTCCGAGAGTGAAACATCAAAGAGTTCAATGTTTAATTTGCATGTGGAGAATATGG